CCCTAGAGCCGGAAATGATTAGAACGTATGTGCGAGGGGAACCTTTACTTAAAACTATATTTGTCTTCTTAATATTTAGCACTCATATTTAATACGAGTTTACTTTCTATTTTTAATTTCATTCCAAGCTCTTCTAAGGCTTCTTTATTTTCCGCTAGCAAAGGGATATCATCTACATATCTGAAATAGTTAATGTTTCAGCCTCCTTTTTTGATTCTAACTGTCAGCCTGCCATTTGTATAAAATATTTGCTGCATAAGATGAAAAAGATGCAAGGAAAATATCTAAGTGTAAATAATTTGTTTGGACATTATGCTTGAATATAAGCTTTTCTCTTCCGTTATACTGCTGAAGGATCTCTTGCCCAAAGGCCTTGTAATATGTGAGCAGGGAGGAATATTTATGCTGTTTGCCCACCCAAGAAAAGTTTTAATAACCGAGAAAAAAATATATATTAATAAAATGCAATGTGGATGAATCTCTTGAGCTCTCCCAGTTGCTTCTGACAGGGCCAACTTCAGCGGAAGAAACTGAAAGAAAAATTTGTCACAGGGCAAAAATGCTTTTTTCCATTTATCTACTTACGTAGATACTTACGTAGATAAATGGGGTTGACTGTGTGTGCAGCATCTAGCTAACATTTTTTAGCTAGGGGAGAAAAACGTTCAGGAAGCAGGATATAATTACAAAACAAAATGTTGGTGTCAAATAATTGTGACACCAATTTTTTTGGGGGGGAGAAACCAGAATTCATGACTAGGTGGAAAGTATTTTAATTGCTGAAGCTCTTCGCCATCTCTCTGGTGAAGCCAGTAAATATGTAACATCAAGGGGTTTATTGCATTCTCACTCTACAAACAGAGGCTCGGTGGCTTCATAACCCTGGAGATGGTCTATGCCCCAGCAGTTCGAGTCCCAGCACAGGTGGCAGAGTGAGCTCCCATCACTTGCCTCAGCTTCTGCTCCCCTAGCAGTCTGAAAGCACGTGATATGCAAGTAGATAAATAGGTACCACTTCCGTGGGGAGACGAGCTGGCACTTCGTGCGGATGGTTAGAATCGTGCTGGTGCTGAACCTTCCTGGTTGCAACAGGTGATGTGGCAGGAAAGCCACTCATCTTTCTTTCTGGTGGTGAGCTAGCTCACACACACACACACACACACACACCCGGCGCATCTTGGAAAGCGTGCGAGCATGAACCAAACAGGGCTAGCAATCTTAGGCAGCTAAACTACTACTCGGCATTAGCACTGTAGTCTTCTGGCTAAGGTAATGTCGCCATAGGCTAAATAAATAAGTACATTTTACAAGCAATGTTAAAGCAGCCCAAGATTTAGATCCGTTAAAGCAGAAAAACCTTTCCATAGAACCAATCCCTGTTACTCAAAAGGTTGGGGGCCACTGGTGTAGAGTATGTTTTTTTTTTCTCGTATCCCACCTTGGTTATTTTTACATCCTCTCCTCCCTGCGTGCCTTAGGATGGAGAGGGAATGGGTCTGTATCCTCTTTGACTGTCCAGCCGGCCTCTGGCCTTTCCCAGCCTCCTCCATAACCTCCGGAGCCACACTTCCACTCCCTGTCAGCTGTTCCTCCTCTCCCTCAGAGTCCGTCTCCACCAGGGGCAGGACACTGGCAACACGGAAGCTCCAACATGACTCCAGTCAGGTAAAGCTTCAGGGGTGACGTTGCCACTATTGGCAGGCACTGGTTTAGATACTGCACTCCATGAAGCAATAATCTCCTACGATGTCTTTCTTATTTGGGGAGTATTTTTTTTTATTGAAATGAGAGAAGGTTAGCCCTTCTCATACCCAAATGTGGAAACGTAGGTGGGAATTAAACTGTTAAAGAACACCAGTTTCCAAGCTAATTAATTTTGACTTTTTCAGAGCTGCTTGGTACGTTGTGACCTGTTACAGCTCTACGTTCTGGAATGCTGTCATTTCTAGAAGATATAGCTAGAGACAAGGTCTGAATTGCACCCCCTTTCAGTCAATATGGATTTGAGGTCATCCTTGTAAAGTGTGGGAATGTATGATGCCCCACCTGACACAAATACAGCCATACCATTGAACTTCACTGCAATTACGCCACATTATATTAGAACATACGATATAATTTAACTTGGCATAAACGCATCTTTCTTTGCCTATGCAAAGCTCATCGTTTTTGCAAATTACACATTTGCACTAGTAAAGATAATTCATAGCTTGGCTGTGAGCATAAAAATGATGGAGCATTTCCCTTTTTTGGGCTCCATCATTGATCTTTCGGATTTTACTGTTTGATAACATGAATCATATTTATTAGCCAAGGGTTCATCATAAAGAATGTAGAATGCTTCTCTGCCATTATCTTCAATTAAGATACATTTTTCCCCCTGCCACTGTCTCTTCCATGTCAATGAAATATTATGGTTTCTAATTGGAAATCAAGTTAATGAATTCCTGGCATTGTCAATAATCCAGACAGACTCTCTCAACCATACCTTCTTATTACCACTTCGCAAAAAAATGGAAGGGGCAGGAAGAGAGAAAGACATTCCTTAGAGTAGAAATGTCATGCCCCTGGTGGAGACTGACTCAGAGAGAGAGGAGGAACAGCTGACAGGGAGTGGAAGTGTGGCTCCAGAGGTTGTGGAGGAGGCTGGGGAAGGGCTGTAGCTGTGACAACTGAATGAGAGGACAGACCTGCTTAGGAGCGAATGCTGGAAACAAAGCGTGGAAATATCTCTAGTTTATGGTTCCTCTTTGAGTTTGGCGTCCTCTCCAGTGTGTTATCTGTGGATGTCCTCAGGCCCTTATCTTGCCTGGTTTGTATTGGTTTTTGCCTTCCTCTTGTAACTGTTTGTGTGGGAGTTTTTTGTCTTCCGTCAATTGGGAGCTTGGAAGCAAAGTGAAGGAATAAAAGGGGCTTCACCTGTTTTCTGTGACTGTGTTTGTTTTGTATCCCACCCTAGGTCATCACAAGAAATCTCCTAAGAGTGATTTGGTTTATGTGCAAAAAGTAAAAATAAAAATGGGATAGGGTTTAAACAAGTACATCTCAATTTGAAGATACATGGACTTCAGTTCCCAGAATTCTCTAGCCAGCTATGCTATGCCAACCATACTTTCCTTTTAACAATTTCCAAAATAATGGAAGGAGCAGGAAGAGAGAAAGACATTCCTTAGAGTAGAAATCTCCTAAGAGTGATTTTGTTTATATGCAAAAAAAAATTAAAAAAATGGGATAGGGTTTAAACAGGTACATCTCAATTTGAAGATGCGTGGATTTCCGTTCCCAGAGTTCTCTAGCCAGCTATGCTATGCCAGACTAAAGTTGTCCAGGTTGAGATGCTGATTTACAATGTAGTTGAAGATTAAGTTGTGTTTGGTTCTTGTCTATTTTTACATCAAGAGAAGAGTCTCTTGTGAAGAGTTGGCCAGGTTCAAGGAAGAGAGTGAACTTTCTTCCTGGATAGTCTCTAAATCAGATCAATCTTTATCAAGGTCATAGGCCAACATCAGAATGTCAATAAGGGTTATATATATTTTGCCTGTGTGTAGATAATGGCGGAGTTCACCGGTTGCACCAAACGTTAATAAGATTTATTTTTCTTTGGCTTAATGTACACTGCAGAACCATTCATTGGTGATGTATAAACCATGATTCAGGGTTTAGTCTTTTGTAGGAGCCCAGCCCGGGGTAGCTTAGTTCAAAAAATACAGTTCAACCATGATAGATTGCAACTTGTGATGCAACAGAGGCCTCACAATAGAAAATGCATCCAACCAATTGCATTAGATGATAGAAGATTATTGAGTCTCTGCATTTTATCTGAGCTCACACACACACACACACACACACACACACACACACACACACACACACACACACTTCAAAAAAAATCTAGACACTCTGCCTTGGATTGTTGGAAATTTTCTAAGAAAGTCTGAGTTGTCTAATGAATAGAAAATGCTTTTATGTCAACAGCGCTCATGCACTTACTGATTTTCATGGTTTTCGGTTGAGAAATAAATGTGCCCCGGTTAGTGGGAATCCTTCCCTGCTCCGAGATTTGCAGATTTTGTGAAATCCCCACACTGTAAACAACACAGTGGGCTCTTTTCACTCAATTAGGAGGTTTGCAAATTAATTACAGTTGAAAGGAATTGCAAACCAGGGCTGCTGATTAGACACCCATAGTACTGGGGCTAGTTGTTTAGATCCAGATTGTTCCTTTGGCTGGACCCATGGACAATTGCACACAACCACTTTTCATCCTTTTGTGTGTGTGTGTGTGTGTGTGTGTGTATGTGTGCATATCTTAAGATATCTTATTAAAAGGAAGAAGGCTAGAATTTATGGATTATTGCTTACTTTTAGATGTTCTTGTTTACTTCCTAATCAGGTTGCCAATGTATATGCCTGCCCAGGGGTGGGCTCCAACAATTTTAGCAACGGGTTCTCTTCCCGGTTGCTGGGTGGGCGTGGCCATGGTGGGTGTGGCCTAGTCGGCCTCCTGCACCATGGGGGGGGGGGGCATTTTTGCTCTCCCCAGGCTCCGGAGGCTCTCTGGAAGCCAGAAACAGGCCCATTTCTGGCCTTCCTGAGCTTCTGGGAGGCCCGTTTTTTGCCTTCCCTGAGCCTCTGTGCACGCCCTGCACTTACCTGCAAAAAACAGGCCTCCTGGAAGTTTGGGAAGGCTGGAAATGGGCCCTTTTCAAACTTCCAGAGAGCCGTTTTCACCCTCCCAGAGGCTCAAGGAAAACCTCCAGAGCCCGGGGAGGGCGAAAATGCCCCTCCCCCCTGCTGTAGTGCAGGAGGCCAACTAGGCCACGCCCACCATGGCCACGCCTGCTCAGCAACCGGGCAGAATTGCTAAAATTTTTGGTTGCTAAAATTTTGGAAGCCCACCCCTGATTGTTTCTATTTAATGATGCAAGTTGAGGCAGGTTTGACAAACTATCTTTAAAAGCGGGGAACCATCAATGTTCTGTGTGCTGTTTTTGTTTTAGGTGGAAGTGAATCCTCGTGGGATAAAGAGAAGCTTCAGTCGCCGATCCCAACGGGATCCCATCACGGGATCAGCCACGCGGCGCTTTCAGGGCAGGCCAATTTGGCGAGCGCTCATCCCCTAAGTCCTCTGCAGCAGAACCATCTGCTCACAAACAGTACGTATGGAAACACAAACAACCCAGCAACTTGGCGTGTTCAGAAATGTCCCGGCACCGGCCTTGCCGTTAAGCGGAGGGAGACACCCTCCTTAGCTGCCGTTTCTTATTTCACCGCCAAGAAAAGGAAGAGAGGGACTTAGGGAATCATCTGCCAGGTGCCCAAATTAACCCGAGTACTATATATTTCTTCACCTATTGGGGGAGGCAGAACTATGGCTTGCCCCACCTTAAACAGGATATGTGAAGAAAGCTGCAAATGGAACAGTATAGTCTAGGATAGGGGTGTCAAACTCGATTTCATTGAGGGCCGCATCAGGATTGTGTTTGACCTCGGGGGGGTGGTGGCCAGGGTGGGCGTGGCCAGCTCAATGTCAGCTGTGTCGGGGGCACCTGTGGTGGCCAAGCGCTAAGGCAGGACTTCCCTCAGACCCTCCTTCTGTCTCATTATAATCTTCCTTCCTTCCTTCCTTCCTTCCTTCCTTCCTTCCTTCCTTCCCTCCTTCCTTCCTTCCTTCCTTTTTTCCTTCCTTTCATATTTCCCCTCCTTCCTTCCTTTTTCTTCCTTCCTTCTTTCTTTCTTCTTCCTTCCCCTCTTTCCTTCTTTTTCCTTTCTTGCTCTCTTCCCATCTTTCTTTCTCTTTGTCTTTCCTCTTTCCCTTTCTCCTTTCCTGTCCTTACTTCCATGCTCAAATGCAAAGGGGGAAACATTTCTCCTTTTGTTTTGTTTTTAGTTTGTTTTGCTAGCCTTCTGCCAACAAAAAACAGAGCTTGGGGGAGGGGGGAGTGTTTCCAGCCCCATGGGCCAGATGCGACCTGTGGGCCTTGAGTTTAACACCCCTGATTTAGTGATTAAGGCGCAAGGCTAGAAACCAGGAGACAGTGAGTTCTAGTCCTGCCTTAGGTATGAAAGCTGGTTGGACAACTTCGGGCCAGTCACCGGGAGATGAGGAGTTCTAGTCAAGCCAAGGTAGGAAGTCCATGTGAGTGACTTTGGGCCAACCACTAGAAGACTCTGATTTCTAGTCCTACTTTAGGCATGTAAGCCAACTAGGTGACTTTGGGCCAGGCAATCTCTCTCATCCCAGCCCACTTCAGAGGGTTGCTGGTGTGGGCATAATAAGAAAAGGAAGTAGGAGTTATGTTAGCCACCTTGAGCTGTTTCTAAGTGTAAGAAAGGTAGATTAAAAATAAATAAAACTATTCATGAGTTGCATGTATTTTCTTCCCACGCTTTTCTTGTGGAAGTGTGGATTGGTAAATTGATGGCTTCTAGAATTGAAGGGGCCTGGTGAATTGAGGAGTTGAATTGCTTCTAGAATTGAATGGGCCTGATGAATTTTAATAGAGATGGTATATTTGGAAATAGGAGATAGCCAAGCACCTACTTTTTAAACATAACGCCCCCCTTTTTTT